ATATATATATATATATATATATATATATATATATATATATATATATATATATAAAACTTATATAAATATGTGAAAATATGTTACTTGTTCTATAAACATATCTTAATTTATCTTAAATTAAATTTTTGTTAAAAAAAATTGTTATAGAACATATGTAATATAATTCTATGTTTCCAAACTCAAGAAGATTGATGTGAAAAATATAAATAAACTACGTGACACATATACTAGCTTATTTAGTTAGAAAATCTTGTTAATAACGCAAAAGTTGCAGGATTTTCTCATGGACCAAGTTATTTTTTTTCTTTATGACATATTTTGTAGATTTAATTTTATTTCACAAGTAAACGAACTTGAATAGAAAACATAGTCGTGAAGCATGAACTTTCGAGATGGCCCATTAGCTCAGTTGGTTAGAGCGTCGTGCTAATAACGCGAAGGTCGCGGGTTCGATCCCCTCATGGGCCAATCTTTTTTTTTAAGTTTAGTAAATTTGTATACATCTAAAATATTAGTGTTTATAATCTGGAATATTTTTATTTGCATGTTTACGTAAAATTTTCTTTTTATTTCGTTTCTTTTTTATTTTTTGTCTAAATTATTTTGTTCCGTTCAAAGGAAGGTTGTCTTATTTTAAATGAGTCGAGAGAAAGTGAGAAAGATCTGGTGTGTCGTGTAGAAGAACAATGGTCCTCTTTCTTGAGAATAAAGCGCAATCAGCTGTGCAAATTTAATTATTATTATTTGTTCTCTCGCTCAATGTAGCTGTTTCTTCCCCGCTACTCGCGCACTCTTCTTCTCTTCTTCTTAGTTATCTATTCATGATTAGTCAGAAAACATTGAAATAGTGGAAAGGATATATCTACAATTGGTAACAATGTATTAGCATTAGTCGGAAAAATGATAACCTTTGTAAGGTGTTGAAATTCAAAGCACTTACATCGATATGTAGCTTTAACAGATTAATTCCTAAGTTGCTAAATTTTTGTTTGCATAATTAATAAATATTTGACAGGTCTTGGAGTGCGCTACGATATCTGAAGAAGCAATGTGTAGACGGCAAAGTAGATCGCACGCTGCATTCATGTATTTCACAATTGCATCATGGAGAGGAGAGGACGGCATGACTCCCGGGCAGCCACCTGTCGCGCGCACGCGCACCGAGCGCTCCGCTCAAGACACCTCGTCGGCCGCGACGAAACGGCAGTCAGTATAAACCAAAATGGCGAGTGTGATGGCGGTTCGCGACGGCTTGCGGCGTGTTTCGACCACGCTCGCAATTTTCTGAACGGGACGTACGCAATAATGTGATCCACGTGACTCGCATCGACATTCGCGGCAAACGTGGAACCGTCAATCGGCGCGTCGAACGACTCGTCGCGCGCTTTTTCATCGGTATAATAACCTCCACGTCCAGCCAGTGTGACCAGTCGGGCCAGACGTCAAACACCCTCCCGTCTCGGACGACCGACGGGGTGACGTCGACGCGCGAAATTTCCCGGAGCTAATCGTAAGTACAGCTTAATCTCCTGCGTGTCAATATGCGTTTATCACCTGACAAACGTCCACGAGCGTGTCGGCGGATCGCTCGAATTTCGTGTCACGGCTAGCTTCGCGCTAGCGTGCGCTTCCTGTCAACGTGACACACCGACGTAAATATCGTCGCGCGCTTATCGACTCACACGCTTATGCATGCGGCGAAACAAGTTGTGCGCTACTTCGCTCGCGAATATCTTACATAAAGCACGCTTGTATTGTAGACCATAAAATTACGCAGGTTTCTCCGCATGCACTGTCCTCGTTATATTTACATGGACTTTTCCATATCGGAATCTATATGAGTTGTCAAGAACAGACGAGTTCTCTCTCTTTCCCTCTCTTTCTCTTTCTCTCTCTCTCTCTCTCTCTCTCTCTCTCTCTCTCTCTCTCTCTCTCTCTCTCT